AGACATACACTGTGCCAGATCCCCTGCTGTGATATGTATCTACTAATCTCTAGCTTGTATGGTTACAGGGAGGCTGCAAGCATGGGAAAACACTTAAACATCCAAATTCAGGATAACATCCTGAAGTCATGGTGTAAAGCAAAAACAATAAATAAAGGTTCTTTGGGAAGGAGAGAAGACAAAATTACTTAATTTTATGTGTTTTCCCATCACAGTAGTTAAAGAAGCTAAGGTTTACAGAGGGCAAGTGAAAAAGGCCTGTCCAGTTCCCTTTAGAAGGAAGGTGGTGTTGGCTGCCCAGAACCAGTATCCAGAGCCCTGCTATCTCCTCAATCACCTTTAACACCAGAGGCAGGGAAGATGAAGTTCTCAGACCTTTCTTGCCACTTTAGTCCTGATTTAGGGCACAGACAAGTCAGACTCATGAATAAGCCAAGGTCCTGAGCACCTGAAGGCACTTCTCTCTGCAAAGAGTTATCCTAATTCAGAATGACATCTGTGTATTTTCTTTATAACTTACCCTATCCATGAACTACATTCACTTGCATTTCTAATTTAAAATAATCCGTCTGTTAACAGTGACTTCTGGCTAAGCTTAACCCAAGTGATATGACATGTGATATGACACCTTGCTCCTGCTGGGATGCTGAATATTTTATGCAGAGCTGCCCTGAGAAGGTGCTTGGCCATGACGTAGTGGAGATACTGAGAGTCCACAATGCACTGAGTTGCGAGGTCCCGGTTCTAGGTAGTCAAGACAGGCTGTCTGGCTACAAAGGGGTGTCTATCCCTCTGCAAGGGTTAGACTGAGACTCCGACGAGCAGGGAGGCAGGGGAGAGGCACAGCTCAGAGGGTCACTGGGAACCAGTCCAGAATGACCTGAGAGCAACCAGCCTGCTCTCCTCAGCCAGCTGAACTACCAAGAAATCCCAGTGGGGAAGGCACTAGAGGGGATTTTCCTGTGTGTGTACTTGCAGCTTTCTGGATCAGCCGATTTTGAAAATAGAGGAATAACATTCATTTAACACGTTTTGCAGTTAGGTCTTGTCCAGAACTGGTTGGTGACACATGGCCTCTGTGTTGTTCAGAGGGAGACAGAGAGGAAAAAGAGACGAAAGCTCCTTTATGGCTCATGCTAACAGTAAACATAGGGAATCAGAAAGCAAGTGGACTACAGAAACCAAGAGGCAGGGTTCAGCTCAGTCATAGGTCTTTTGCACCTATATCTCCCCTGAACTGGAGCTATTTCACATCCAGCCAACTCAGAGCACAGGCAAGGAAGTGGGCTTTGCCCCTGCTTCCTGTGAAGGGATATGCCCTTGCTTGCTTCAGGGAGGAATGAAAGAGTACAGTGACCCTGAAGCAGGCCAGACTTTCAGCTGTGCCTTTTATTCACGTCCAGGCTTTTCCCAGTCTTTGCAGATACGGGTCTCTTCATGCCATCTCCCTGTGATGCTGTCTGGAGAAGGGGGCGGGAGAGCAGAGTGAAGGAGAGTCAGTGATAAAATGGACCACACAGCCCTGGAGTGCCAGGTGTCAGCTCCTTTTCTCACCAGCTTTCCTTTTCTCAGCAGCCTGCTGAACATTCTTTTCAGGTTACTACAGAGCTCTCACACAGCATCTGCATCCCTGAAGCAAAGGCAGTGTACGGCTGGGTGGCTCTGGAGGTGAGAGCCGTCAGTGAAGCAGGTGCCTCATCAGGCACGCAGCAACAGCCAGCACCACACAGGGGATGAAGCACAACATCACAGCCAAGAGGTTACCGGGCAAGCTGGGCCACCATGTGCAGCCCGTGGATCACAGATGAGGGAGTTGGACACAGCACTGCTAAAGTGTGCAAGATGTGCAAGGAGTGGGATAGGACCTCACTGCATGCCTCACATCCAGTCGTGGCTGGGCATCAGCGGGCCTGCGAGCACAGCTAGCCAGTTCCGGAGCGTGCACATTTCTTGACCCCTCAGTCTACTCCAGGCGCTCCTTCTGCATCCAGGGGACAAGGGTCACTGCAGTCCTTTCACAGGGTGCCAGTGAAGCAGTAGGGAAAGAGCCAAGGTAAACTCTTGAAGAAAAGCAAAAGCCACCACAAACACAGCTGACTGAGCCCAGCAGGAGCAAGCGTGTGCTCTGTGTTGTCCCTTTAAACAACATTCAGAGAAGTAATATTGTAAGCCAGTGGCTGTTTCCCAAGAGGCAGGAGTCCTGGCTGCCATGGTCAGCCTTGCCAGTCCCTTTGCTTTTTGGCTTTGCCTAGGCCACAGAACCTCTGTGTTTCTGTTTCCCTGCTATTACAGCATGTGGCAAAGGGGAAGGACTCCTTCCAAAGCATCTACTGGTTTTGACTAGAGCAGCAAAGGACCAACTCAGCTTGGCACTGGCCAGCGAAGAGAGGGACAGCACAATGCCTTGAGTCAAGTACAGAGGCTGCCTGCAAAAGTGCTTGGAGCACAGATCCTCAGGAATTAAATTCCCAGGGAAATGGCCAGTGTTGCCCATGTGTTTCCTCCCAGCCACCCTGCCCTGCTCTGTCTCCACAGGGCCATTATGCCAAGTGGTGAAAGGTGGACACTCAGGCCTCTGTCTCCACACAGTACCCGAACACCACATTATGGACACAAGCCAAATATCTAAGATACACCTGTGTCCCTTGGCCTGACCCACCCCACTGTCAGCATCTCCACTCCTACCCCTCAACCAGGGCCTTCCTGCAGCCTGTGGACACATTGGAGGTCTGCTGGAGACTCAGACCTTACACTCTTTTTACCACAGCACATGCCCTTCCTAGGTCTCCCAAGCCTGCCAGGCTTAGCAGCCACAGAGGAGAGACCCTTCCCCCACTGTGTAATAGAAGGAGTTTCAGAGAGGCTTCACAGCAGAGAAACCAGAATGGCTCTCTGCTATCCCCTTCCAGAGCTGAGGTGACCAGCTATTTCAGCTAAGAGGACTCCTTCCCTGGCTGTTGGCATCTGTGGATCTTACCTCTAAGTCTTCGTTTTTTCTTGTGTGTCAGTCAAGTGAAACTAATCACAGATGGGTTTTAAAGTATTGGATGTTATCTCACCATCTCTGTCCCAGAGTCTGTCTCCTTAACTGTGTTACTGTTTGACAGCCTGCAGGGCCTCTACACCTCGTCCAGGAGTTAATATTTTATCTAGACATTCAAGGGAAGCTTGGTGGAAATTGTGCTAGCCTTGAAATGCCAAAGGTAACTTTAAAATATTTCCTTCCGGACTCTGAAATGTTGCTAGTAGAAATGTATTCTCTAAAAGGAAATGGTTCCGAACCTAGGCTAACAGCTGGGGAGATTATTCATGGAAATCAGTACCCTGAGGCTCTGTATCACTTTCATTTGTCTTTCCCAAACCCCCCACCTTTATGGAGGCCAAGTGCATCACTCTTCTAGCTCCAGGGAGGTGAAGTGGAAGCAGCTCTCCAGCAGAGGAAAATGTGTTCATCCTGAAAACATTTCTTTGTTCTCATTGCACAGGATCATTTGTCTACCGTGCAGGAGATTTATGTGAGGAACAGCAGTGACACAGGGCATAATGACTCCATTTTGTTTAATAATTAACTCACATGTTCTCCTGGTGCCACACGTTCCAGCAGACACTGTAAGACAGTCAGGCTGTGCTGGCTGGAGAGCTAAGCAGCAGGTGGGCAGTAAGGAAAAACTGATTTCTCCTTCTGCTCACTGATGTTGTGCCCTAACTAGTGCTGGGGTCTTCTTACCTGAGGTGTGCTGTCCCAACAGCTCTTCAAATGCTGCAGACTCTGCACGCTCTGAGTATTTTACCAAAACAACAGGCATTGTGGTGTATTATTTCGACAGGGGTCATATAGGAACTATTTCAAAGAGCAAACCTGAACTATGTAGCAAGAATGAGAATGGAAGCCAAAATTCATCTGAGTTCTCCCGCTACCAACAAGAAGCTCCATCTTGCAACCCATCACTGTTTGGTTTGCAAATGGCCAGGAATTGTTTTACAGGTTTTAGAAGAATTTGCTGGAAACTTTTTGCCAAATTTTTCTCAAATTTTAATACCTGTTCCTCACAATCAAATAATTTCTGGGGAAGAGATGCTTTCAAAGAACTTGTCACCTTGAAATACTGCTGAGGGCATCCCTTTTCTAAGTATCTAGACTTTTTTTTTAAGAAAAAAATTTCACCACAATTTACAATACTCAGTCGTTCAAATACAGAAGGCTAGATATATTGAAAAGGTTCTAAATACATCATTTTAAGGTTACTGAAATAAAATATTTCAAAAATATTTCAAAAAGGGCTTTTTTTCCCACTAGCAAGATATCAATTCTTTGAAAAGTTAGAGACTAGCTTTTTCTCCAAATTCAAGATACATCTCTTTCCACAATATCTCAAATCTTTGGGAAAGGGGGAATCTATTACTCCCTTAGCTTGTTTTTTAGAGAGGTAGAAAACATTAAAACAGAAAGGAATTTATCAGGAAAAAAAAATCTCAACTAGAATCCTTTGCTTAAGTGAAAACAACCCTAGGTTTATCAGGGACACTTGTAGCCAAGGCTGAGGCAGTTGCAGTTTTAGCAGCACTTCCCTTCCTGAACAAACGCCTGAGATGCCATCAAGTTCTCTCTGCCTTGGACCTGAAGTCTGTTTCTATATCTCTGTCTATTTTAAGGCATATCCCATACACAGTCCTTTCAGCTCCTCACAGTCAGGAATGTGGCTCTTCCTGGAAACCGTCTGCTCAGGGAGACAGCTGAGCTTTTACTGAGGACTGAATCTGTACCCTGCACCGCAGCACCACCCCAATGGGTTAGGGTGTCCTCCTCGCAGCATGTTTCCATGGTTTCAGGTGGGTTAGGGTGTCCTCTCCACAGCAGGTTTCCAGGGTTTCACAATTTCAGCACTGGGGAAGACCAGCAAATGTGGGAGGGACTTTGGTTTGCAGGATTACGCCTTATCACCAGCCCTCAGGCATTGAACTATGATTTGGGTACAACCTGACAGCCACATTCTCCCTACCTGCCCCACATGAGTTTTCTTTCCAGGCCTCCTCTGCACTCATCAGGTCATGAGTCCTACTGATAGCTTGTGCCAGATGACTGCTGCTCCATGTCCTGTGGAGGCTGCCAGCCAAGCCTTGATGCCCTGCTAGTCCAATGGTCTGAAATGACCTTCAAGAGATTGGCTGCAAGGTGAAAGTACACAAGCAGGTTGAAGCTGGTTATTCAGCATCCATGGATTAGAGCAAACAAGAGCAAACAAAGCTGATTTCATTGTCTTCTGCAAGACATCATTGTCTAAGTCAGATCTGCAAGCCCCAAAGCAGAAGCTGAGAAGAGCCAAGGGGCCAAGGTAACCCAGATTCAGGGGACTGGAGGACTCCTGATTGGGCTACAGGGGGAGAGGATGAGAGCCAGTGAGAAGTGGGAGAATATTATTCCAGACCACATCTAACTGAGTACTGAAGTGCAGATCCCAATCAGTGCCCTATCTTTTCTCCTACAATCAGTCCCAGTGAAATTCTGTATGATGGCATCATCTTTGATTCAAAGTGGGAGAGACAACAGTCCAAACCACTTTGGTAAAGGGCAAGTTTCAGGAGGGATCCTTGAAAATCTTCCCCCAGCTGAATGTCCTACTAACGTTCTAGTAGTTCCCGAGAGCCCTAATACAGATTTTTATCTTCCCTGTCATTGTTGAATTGTATTATGTTCTTTTACTTACCCTCTGAGTGCTTCCAGAGCAGATGAGCTGGGGAGATGCACAACAGCACATTTGCACTCTAAAATCATCAGGTGGTTGCTTAATTCCTTCAGAGGAGGGTTGAGTAATTTGGGAAGAGGAAGGTGGGGAGGACCTCAACAGACTTCAACTCCCTATTTTCTGGTTAACATCACCAGATGCCTCCTGCAATGCCTAGTCTGTAAAGGGGGTGCCGAAGCTCAGGGGGTAGTGAGGAATTACAGCTAAAGTTCTCCCTCTTCAGTCCTTGAATACACAAAGAGTGGCTCCACATTTCCTCCCAGGGCCATCCAGCTCAATGATGTGTGACTAACTCTTTCATTGACCAAAGACCAACCACTTTCCTCACATGACCTTACATAACTGCTCATCTATTTTGTTAATGAATGGAGCTTGAGAAAATTTCCATTGCCTAAGGCCTTTGGGGGAAAATGCATGAGCACCATCTCCACCTTTTGTGTGCTGATTTGGGATTTTCCTATGGATTAACTGAGTACAGTAGTATTATTTTTGGTTGCTGTCATTGGTGACTGAAATGGTAAGCTAATAGCAGGGTGCCATGGGGGTGAAGAGAAAAAGAAAAGGAGCCCCTGCCTGAGCCAGAGGAAGCAGGAGACTCCTTCTGCCAGGAGGAGCAACAGGGACATCACTGCCATCAATACCCTAGTCAGGGACTACACCTATTCCCAGGAAAAAGCTGTTGTGTTTACTCAGCCTGGAATGGAGCCAAAACACCTCCTGGCTTCTCTTCACTCCCCGCCACAGATCCAGCAGTGCCAACCTACTGGTGTCCCAGGGGCCAGACCCAGTGCTGGGGCTGGCAAACAGTTCTCTCTGGCCTGCCATGGTCAGGATGGAGCAGTCTGACACTGAGCAGCAGTGGAGAGGGGTGATATGTAGCTGTTGGGTATATTGGCATGTCAGAGGTACACCCCCTAGCATTTACAGCAGGTAGGAACTGGTGGGAAGATAGGCATATCCCAGTATTTCTAAAAGCTCCTATCAGTGTTTCAGATTTTCTCATTTCAACCACTTCACTGCAGTGCTACCTAAGATAGAAATTACTTTTACCATAAAACTCCTTCTGCCAGTGGAAGACTGGGGAGGGAGGAGCTCGACCTCTCACAAAGCAATGCCATGCAAAGGCATTTGTAAGTGCTAGGGACACATTATTTTCAGAAATGGGATTTATGCCATGTCCTTTGGAACCAAGGAATCTGTTGGATGTGCAATGTGGGCTCCCCGTGGTGTGGGCTACACATCTCATGGTTTAGGAATGTTGCTGAAGCTAACAGGATAGCGAAGTTGAACAGGGCATGACTGGACTACCACCAAGGATGGAAGTGGCAGCACTAAAATACTAGAGGATGATCCTTTTAATTTCAATTGATGGGAAGAAAATGCAAATGCTGCCCAGGCTTCTGTAATGCCTGGTCTATGTGCAGTGATGAGTAAATATTTAACTGCAGAAAGAACATTCCCTTCCAGAGATTGAAGGAACCAAGTTAATCAGTTCCAGACTATATTCAAGTCATGGGTGTCAAGAGGACAACACAAGTTCAAAACCTTGAGGATGTTCAAAGTCTGCTACTACACCTGGGCAGTTGCCATGTCTTCCCTGGGATGCTAAAAACGAGGATCTTTTCATCTGCTGAGAAAGCAGGATAGTTAACTGACTCAAAGACATGCTTCACAGAGAGGGGGAAGGGTTGGAGATGTGGCAAACAGAGTTTGAAAATCTTCCTGTTGCATCCAGATGGTGCTTCAGAAACTCAGGAGATGAGGCTGCTGCAGCAACTAGGCTGGGCAAGTCCTCAGGCAGGTCTGGAGATGTTCCCTGCCCTGGCAGCCCACTGGGCATTCACTGGCAGGGCTGATGACAGAATTCACCACTGATAGTAGCTCCCAGGCTTTAGAAAGTGCTCAATTTCTGTCAGACCCTCCTCTTACACAACAACATATTTCCAGTTGTTCTTTTACCCCAGTACAGTTAATTTGCCCTCAGTATGATTAATTTGCCTTCATCTGTCTCTCCCTTACAAAGCCAGTCTGTTCTCTTCAGAGATTATGGAGTGATGTTGTTAGTACTCATGTCTATAATAAAGCAAGTTCCTCTAGGCATGATATAGTTCATATTTTCATATAATGTCTGTAGGGCTTGCACTGCACTCCCTGAGCATTGGAATACACTCAGGTATCAGCATAGTTTCTACCACGAGTAGGAGTGGTTGACCAGCTGATGAGTTGGGGTCTTGGCTGTTCGTGGCTGCTCATTCATCTCTGACTTTTCCTGGTGCTTTGCAGTAGAGATGTCTCTCTGTGGAGAAAAAAACACTCCAAGAATACGTCTCTTTAGATCCAACTTCCTCTGATATCTCCCCCACAAAACCCCCAGAGGTTCAAGACAAATGTTTCCAGTCTCCTGCACTAGACACTATTCTTTCCTCTACAGCCCATTTTGCTTGAAAGGACCTCATTTAGAGCTCAGAGGAGAAAAGAGGGAAGTGATTCAGTGTCCAAGTCCATTTGGATGACTGAACATCTCTTAAGTTCTTCAGCCAAAGCACTCATCATTTACTGTCTAGGGTGGTTTTTTGTTAAGAGTCGAAAGAGTCAAATATTTTACCATGCAATTGAAACTTTTGCCTGTTATTCAAAGCTCAACTCCTCCTAGAGAAATGACAAATCAGAATAATGGTAAACTGAGTTCTGGCTACAAAATAAAAAAGCAAAAGTCTGTGTTGCTATTTCTCACTTTGGATTTAAATCCTCTGGACTGAACAGCCCTTACCAGGCACTGTGTAAAGTCTTCTCCTAAAATAAGATGACAGGGGTCAGGGGCCCAAGCTAAGCTGATTAGCACAACTAAAGCTGTATCACATTGCTACAGTAGGGTCATATGATTGATCACTGGGATAAATATTTAGGAAGCTTCCCAAGGGAAGTGGAATAGATGGGACCATAGAAGCCAGGGAAAATGGGCAACTGGGATGTGGCTAACACAGGGTCTGATACCATTCACCTGTCATAATACAGATCAAAAAAGCAGGAGTTGTTTTGCAATGGAATTTGTATCTCCCATCAGCTTCCCCTCTGAGTATGTGTTCTGCTCCACAGCATTCTGGATCACCTTCACTGAAAGGCAGCATTGTTAGCAGGCAGACCATGTCACTCTGCAACCACATTTCCACCATTCTGCCAGGCTTTGCTGGCACAGGTCAGTCCTGCTCCCGTCTGCCAGCAGCTAGGGACAACACAGTGCCCACTGCAGAAGGGCAGCATGCTCATCAGTGAATCAGATGGGCTTTCCATGGGCTTTGACTTTTCCAGAGGCAGCGTGGAATCCTCCCTTGAAGGGGTTCTGAGCAGCCAACAAACCGTGACAGTGGTGTGTGTGGGAGTAGTACTCAGCTTGACGCAGACCCTGAGTTCTCCTCTATGGCCAAGTTGCACCCCTCATTCTGCTGGGGCTCTGTTAGCAGGGTGCTGACTGGCCTCAGGAGCTTTGTCCCCGTTCAGCAGGGACAGAGAGTCCTCTGGACCTCCTCTTCCTACCACAAATGATGGGCGATATCCTGGGCTGGATTCCAGCCTTCATAAGCAAGGCCAGAGTCTGGCTCAGTCACCAACCCACTCGCCCTGAGGCACCCAGAGCCACGAAGTTTCCTGAGCTCCACACAAAACTCACGGCAACCAAAGTGGTCACTGGGAGGGCTGAGGGGCAGGCAGGAGGGAGGCACTGCCCAGTGACCACCCTGGGGTCCCACTGCAGCACCCAGGGAGGCTCCTTTGTCCTACTGAGACCTGGGTGCCTGGGGAGCAAAGGCGAGGCCCAAGGATTTAAAAGGATAAGCATGAAGGCAAGGAGGCTGTGAGCGACAGAAAATGAGCGCACAGCCATTCTGGAGAACCTGTATTATTAAACAGGTTGTGAATGCCAGCTGCCACCTGCCCTCGAGGGGGTGGAGGGAGTGTGCTTTCCACACATGCAGTGCCTATACAAAACCTTTCTCACGTCAAACTCAGCGGTGAAAAAAAGAAGCCACCAGAAGTTAACCTTCTCCTCTAACCCCAGCTTTACCAGCTCTCATTTCTTCACTGTTTGTCTTTCCTGCATTGTTGCAGACTGAGGTTGTTTGCCAGAAAATAAGACAAAGGCTTGTTGGTGCCAGAATCTGCCCTTCCAACAACAAGGAATAGCAGTAAGTGAGCAAGTAGGGGCACACAGAGCTGTACAGAGAGCAGAAGAGAATAGCTCCTATTATTTTGGTAAGTTGCTGTTGACTTTGAGGCAGGACTCTCAGGGAAAGGTAACAGCTGGTGTTAGACAAATGATACGGTTAGAAAAAAAAACAGAAGAGCTTTTAGACACACAAATCCTTTTGAGCTGAAGCAAAGGGCTATAAACGTCAGCCTAAGCACATATTGGAGAAGTTTCCTCTAAATCTCTCTCTTTGGTGAAAAATAAGGCTTCACGGGGAAAGAACTTGCCCCTCCTCAGGGAGCAAAATAGAGGCATGACTGGATCCCTAATCCCAGCTCTTCGACAATAAGATGGTGTTTCTCTACCTGTAGAAGCCACTGCTGTTGCTGAATCCACCAAACAAATCCTGTTATGTTACTGCAATAGCACCCCAGTACTTGTGGGCACTGGCAGATGCTCTACCCCACTACATTGCTGCACATGAGCAGTTTGCAAGTGCCACTCAGACACAGCCTTGTGATGTTGAGCTCTGGTTTGTGATTTACACTGACCTCAGAGATTTCAGGTCAGTTTATGCAACTGCTCAACTCAGTCTTTGCTGCAAACATTCATTGTATTTTGGAAAAAAAAAAAAGGACCAGTGTGCAGGCCCTGGGAAGAGGCAGAGAGGTAGCAGGGTTGAGCAGAGCTCAAAAACTGCATTAGCACTAAAAGAAGTGGGTAAATTAGAAGAGACACAGCATGAAAATGCTGTTGAGCTGAGGCATGGTGATGGTCAGTGAAGCAAACTATGCTCTACTAAGTTGCAGGGTCAAGCAGAAGTAGTATATTGCTTAGTGATGTCAAAGAAGACTGGTCTCAGATACA